CAGCATCATCTATTATATTTTGAATAAGAAGTTTTATATCTTCAGTTCTTGATCGTTGATCACTAATATCATGTGCTTCTCAAATTAAAGTTTTACCTTGAGAAGTAATAAAAATAACTCCAAAAAGGTACTCCTGTTTAATGTTAGTTCAACCATCAAAAACTGCTGTTATTAGAATAATTTATTATTATTCTAGTTTAATAATAATAAATTCTTCAAAAATGATAAATATATTATTCTTTTAGAATAATTTGTTATCTTTCTTTATTTAACTAGAATAATATATAGTATAATTATTCAATAAGAATATTTATTATTATTTTTCATTTAACTAGAATTTTTACAACTTTAATCTGAATTTTTATTACATGTTTTTTCTCTTATAATATCATAAAATCTTTAATAAATTCTCTTATTTAATTATTATTATAAATATTTAATTTATTAAAATATAATAATATAAAAATTAATTTAAATGCTAATTGTTTTTTAATCAATTAAATTAAAGGCAGTTTTATTTTTTTTAGATTCTTTTATCTATTTAAGAATCTTAAAAAGAATTTTATAATGTTATTAAAATAAATTTAATTTTTCTAAATCAATTATTAAATAAAAATAGTACTTATTTATTGAATTGAAGAGTCATTTTATATTAAATTACTTATAAAGAATTTAATAGAAAAGGAAATAATTTTGCTATTTATAATATAATTTCTAATATAGTAGTAATAGTAGAATAGTAAAAGAGTATTTTAGATTAATTTTTTATAATAATAGTTATATAATATAGATAACATAGATTTTAGAATAAATAGTAAAAAAAAAAATTATATTATAGCTTTATTATTTTTTCTTAGATTATTAATCATTAAAAATAATTAAAAATTCAAAGATCAAGATACAGTTATTATTTAACACTAAAATTGTTATTATTATGTCTTTTTTAAATCTTATTCTCTCAAATCTTACTGTATCAAGCTATACTTACCTGATAATTTTTAAAATCATAGAATTACTAATTAAAACGAAGATTTATATTTTAACAAATTATTTAATAAAGTAATATATCTTAGTAAATAAATTTTATATATATAATATATACTGTATGTATACATTAAATTTTTTGTGTATATATTATATAACATAAAATATATATAAATAATTATTAAAAATAGATAAATTATATATAAAAATGGATAAATTATTTATAAAATAGAAATACTATATAATACATACATTAATTTTTTATTTTAGTATAACTTATGCATATAACTTTTAGTCTAAATTTTATACACTAGTATATTTCATAAGATGAACAACTTAATTAAAAAAATAGTATAATTGAGTTATAACTTGTGACGTAATTAAATTTTTTATAGTGTAATTAAATTACAATTTAATTAAAATTTAAAAATAATCATGAGGACTATCTTTATACCTTATTAACTAATAAGTTTAGCTACACTCTCAATTATTTCTAATACTAATATTATTTTAATTAAGAATTATATTATAGAAAATATTATTAAGATCAACTTATTTTTTTAGTAAGATTTTTAGTTTAAATTAATATTTTTATATTTTACAAAGACAATTATTTAGTTAATCCCATTTTTTATAATTATAAAATAGGTCTTGAATGAATTTATCCTAAACTATTTGATAAAAATAAATACTATTTTAACATTTGTTATCAATTTTCTATCTTCAACTAGAATTGAATTTCTTACTCTTTTAATTACTATTATTATTTATTTATCTAATCTAATATAATAATTTTTTAAATATTTAGATAGTAATAGATAATTTAATAATTTATCAACAAATAATAACTTTATAATAAAGATTAAAAAAAGTATTAAATAATACAATTTAGATTTTAATATATTATATTATTAATAATTTATAGTTTAAAATAATTAAAGTTAAGAGTATTTAGATAATTTGTATAATAATAAAGCTAATAAACTAATTAAAATAAAGGATTTTTAACCTTCTTTCATTCTGAATTATATTATCTTTGAAATATTATAATTATATTTAAATTTAATAATATTCTTATTAAATTTTTATCAAAGTTTTTGCAAATTATCTAAATAATAAAAAGTAAAATTTTATTAAAAAATTTGCAAAACTCAAAAAAAAAGGTAAAACTATATAAAAATGTGAAATTATATTAAAATCTTAATAAAAATTAGTAATTTAATTATTTTGTTAAATTTAAAATGAGTTTAAACAAACAATTTTAACTATAATATAATTTTCTTATTTCCTAAATTTAAATAAAAATTTTGACCTTACTAATCTCAATAAAAATTCAAAGATTTATTAGAAAAATTCTTTAAAAATATTCAAATTAATGAGAATGATACTATAATTATTATTTTTTTTGTTTAAAAAATAAAAAACATTTAAGATAAAAGTCCTTATTAATGAATTATTTATAATTTTTAATTAGTAATTTGTTATTTAAAAATTTATAAAAATTAATCTTATTTAATATATAATTAATTAATAAAAGATTATCATCACTTATAAATTTACTTAAAGAGAATAGAAATTATCACTAAAATCAGTTTTTCTTTACATAATTTCATAAAATCATATATCTTATCAAAATTAAAAAAAAATAAAAAGTAAATCAAGAACTACTTACAAATTAAAAAAATCTGATTTAATTTTTTAGTAAATATTGATTCTTATATTTTTTTATTTAAAGAAATTATTTTAAATTTTCTCTTTTATCTTTTGAGAAGACTATTTTCTCATTTCAATTTAATAAATATCTTGATTTGAATAGTTATTTTTCTTATTATATTCATATATAGATCCTAAAATACATTAAAAAAGATTTAATTAAAACTTTTAATATCTCATGTTACATTTCTAATGTTATTAATTTTTAAAAAGACTGACTTTAAAATATGATTTCTCTTGATTAGACTTTTTAATAAGTACTGATAATATCATTTAAATTTTTATTGAAGATTAAATTATTAAATATAAATCTTTAATTTTATTAGAGAAAAGTTCTAGTAATTAATCAATCTAAAATAGAGTCACAAGAAATAGTTATAGTTTATTTATTTTTTGTTTTAATTTTATTTTTATAAATAATTATATAATTTTAACTTAAATTTAATAAAACTTATGAGAGTATCACATTATTAAAAAAAAGTAAGAATTATAAAGTAAGTGTTATAATTAATATAAAGATAATTTATTATTGTTTAAATTTATTTCACAAAATCAGATGATTATAAAAATATGTTTATATAGAAGATAATTATATAAAGATAAAAGAAAAAACCATTAAAAAAATTAATTTTACTTTTGTATGTTAAATATGATTTTTAAATCAAATTTATTTAAATTTAACATTAATTAATTTATTTTTTTTTTGATAATTTTTTACTTTTCTATTGTAAAGATATTGTATACTATAATACCTTAAACTATTTAAGCTAGTATAATATAATTATATTATATCAGCTTAAATAGTAAATTTTTTTTACAATATTTTATTAATTATTATAATATATTATATTTATTAAAAATTCTTAGTAAAATAGTTTAATATATTATATTTATCAAATCTAAAAAAATTTATTAGATTTAACAATATAATTATTATTATAATTATCACAATAATAATAATTATATGATATATAAGTTACTGTATTTATTAATTATATTTATAAGTAATAATAATTAATATATAGAACAGAAATTGTAATTAAGTCTGAGTCCACGCTATGATTGGCTGGTATAATTGATTAGTCACACCGGTGACAAATCACCTAACCCTAACCCTAACCCTAACTAATCTAGCGTGAGGGTAAATTAGTAAACCCACATAGATCATAATACTCTAACTAATAACTTTACAATTTGACTGCGTATCATATGATTTACTATATCTTGTGACTTTTTTTTTATACTATATAAAGTAGTAAAAAATATTTCCAAATTAGATGAACCTCGCCTTGGTGATTAGAGTATAATATTTTTTAAATCATAATCATATGTAAAACTATATATTTTGTAAGATTTTAAAAATCCCGTTTAAATATTTATTATTGATAGAAAAGGAGAAGAATAGGAGGCTCATTCAAAATCGTTTTAACAACATTGGAGCACCGTCATTCACAACTTTCACTAATACGTTACATTTTTGAATAGATTCATATAGCATTCAGGGTTTCATATGTAATGCATGCGATTTCGATTTAATTCGCAAAATAGTTATCGTTTTTTATATCAAAAAAATTTTTTGGCGAAATATCTAATCTCACGTGAGATCGGTTTAATTGGATTAGTAAGCCCATATCAAGTGAAATTTTTATGATATCGTCATAGCCCAAATTAATAACGAAATATTTATTTACTCGAATAAGTTAACCCCGATAATTTTTTTTAAGAGATTATCTTGTATATCGTGTAACATTAAACCGATAAAAACGCAATAAAGTTTCATGAAAATCATGAAAAAACATATATATATATATTAAAGCTGGCATTCGGTTTAGGTATCATACGCTTTCATTCGAAAAATTTATTCACCCCTCGGTTATTTTCTTCCGTTAAGAAAATGTCTGAATTTACAACTCGAAATGTTGGTACTCCAAATACCTTAGAACACCGTATCTTTATTGGTGAGTGATAGGTGATATACCGTATCATGATTTTTTTCTTTAGTTAAAATTTTAATATTGCTATTCTAGAAAGAAATGGCCAAATCGTTTCTCCCTGGCATGATATTCCTTTGTTTGCAAATGAGAACAAATCCATTTTGAATTTTATCGTGGAAATTCCCAGGTGGACAAACGCTAAAATGGAGGTATGTATCATTATAAATCGATGAATTACCAATGCTATCATTAAGAATAATACCTTTTATTTGATATCATATCCATCAGATTTCTAAGGAAGAACTACTCAATCCAATAAAGCAAGACATTAAGAAGGGTAAACTTCGTTACGTCCGCAATTGCTTCCCTCACCATGGTTATATCTGGAATTATGGTGCTTTCCCCCAGGTAAGTCAAAAAATTTTTTTTTTTATATATTGATGTGTCTATATAATTTGGCATTGACGTATCCTTTCTATCTATATTAGACATGGGAAGATCCTACGCAAACTCATGCTGAAACCAAGGCAAAAGGTGATAATGATCCACTTGATGTTTGTGAAATTGGCGAACAAGTCGGTTATACCGGCCAAATCAAGCAAGTAAAGGTACTCGGAATAATGGCTCTTTTGGATGAGGGTAAATTGTAAATGTTTTTATAACATTTTTTTTTTTTTACTTTAGTGCTCTATCGAATCTAATTAATTCAGAAATTTTATCTAGGTGAAACCGATTGGAAAGTTATTGTTATCGATGTCAATGATCCTTTGGCAAATAGGTTGAATGGTTAGAAGTTTATCATAATAATATTTTTAATACATTGTTCAATAGAGTGACTTGTTATTAATTCTATCCTTGATTTGGACTTTTATAGACATTGAAGATGTTGAGAGGCATTTGCCTGGCCTCATTCGTGCAACCAATGAATGGTTTCGTATTTATAAAATTCCAGATGGAAAACCTGAAAATCAATTCGCCTTTAGCGGCGAAGCCAAAAATAAGGTTGGATGAGGAAATTTCTCTCATATTTTCTCTTTTTTTTTTTTAAAAAAAAAAAAGGAATAAATGAAAATTAATTAAATTAAAATTTATTTTGTTTAGAAATATGCCACTGAAATTATTCATGAAACGCATGAAGCCTGGCGTCGTTTAATCACTGGACAAATCCCAAATAAGACTGATAAATACGAAATTTGCATGTAAATAATAACTATAAATTGTTGAAAAAAAAAAAATTCTATGCTTAATTATGTTCTATTTGTATTTTATAGTAATAATTTGACAATCGAGGGGAGCCCTTGTCGAATAACAGTAGATGATCCACTTTATCAATCTATTCCTCCTGATTCAAGAAAACAACCTGCTCCAATTGATCCTTCAAGTAAAATTTTTTCAATTGAATAATTGTAAAATTTTTTTTTTTTTTTAGTATTCTAACTCTTGTTGTTTAAATGACTTTTAGTTGATAAATGGTTCTTTATCTCTGGCACTTCCAATTTATAATAATTTTTGAAATTATAAATTTTTTTTTTTTTTTTGCAAACTTTCAACAAAAATTAAAATAAATATTTATTTTTAAAAAAAAAATAATTCCAGGTGCAATCTAATATACTTAATTTAATTGTGAAATGTTTTTTTACCAGTCATCGATTTTGATTTTAAATATCTCAGACTTCGTTTCTTGTTCAATGCAAGAATTCAGCTCACTTTTGAATATTACATCATCAATTAAATTATTCATGTAACTTTTCAACCGAGCAGTGAACTTGGTCACCTAAAATCACATTGATCTTCCCGTGATCCCCACCTAATGCGAAGGAAAAATTCAAACTATTTAAACACGCGAACTTTCAAAGATCAGCTACGCATAAACACGTGGAAATTTCTATCATTAGGATTAAATTAAATAACCATTTTGTGACTCAACCAATAACCTTGAATGGCGATGACCCGTCACGTCATTTTTTTCCTACTTAAATTAAGTAAAAAACAATTTACTTGCCTCTCTATAGCTATCAAGAAGAACTCGTACTCTTTCCTTCCGAGCGCTTTGTTCACGGTCAAAAATGGCTTCAAGAGATTTTATGTAGAAATCAACTTTTAAATCAAATGGTTCAATGTCCGACTCGTCAAGAAACCCCGAGATACACACCATTTGGAAGGAGCAGGCCAATTTTAGGCTGATTTATGGTTATTTAAGTTCTGAATTAATGTTGAATGGCTATTTTCGATTGGAGTCAATCGGCATCTATCAGCGTCTAAATTGTTGTCAAATAGCACGATCGATAAAAAGATCAATTTTGATTGGTTTAATTTTACTATTAAATTTTACCGATATTTTTTATTTTAATTTTTTATATACTACATCTTTAATATATATTTTTATGAAAATTTCAAGTGCTGTTTTAAATTGACTTAAAGTTTGAGAATTAAATAATGGTTGCTTTGATAATTCTTCATTTCGAAAAAGAATAATCAATGTATATTATTTGCATAGAAGCGTCATAATGTATTGTTATTATTGGCTAAGAAATCATGTAATAAACAAAAGCTGAACTTAAATATAAAGCTAAATGTACAGATATAAATTTGTGAGAACTATCTGTATAAAATGTAAAAGTTTTTTATTTTGAAGTAAGTGATAAAAATCTATTAAGAAGGAATTAACATAATTATTTAAAATAAATTAGAAATAATAATAAAAAGTGGAGCATTGAGAATGAGATTGTTTGATAAAATAGTAAAAGAATGCGCTGTTATATAGTGTTGTTTTACTTGATCAATAATGATTTAAATATTTCTTTTGAGAAGATACAGTTTGTTATCTTTAATTAAGGTGAAATAAGTAACTTTTATAATCTAAGATAGGTTATCATTAATGACATTACCATAGGATCAAGTTATAACTAAAATATTATAATTTAATATAAGTTTATATGAATTAAAAGAGCATTCTGAATATAAGATAAAAATATTTTATTTTTTAAAACAAATCTGAGATTATTATTAAAGGCTGAGTTATTGATATAATATTGAATAGCTACTTTATTAAAATAAAATAGGATTTTATAGCTTTTTAATAATACCTTAGTTTAAGTAAAGTAGGTTATAATAGTTTTGTTTTGAAGATATTTAAAGAGTTATCTAGAAGTATTTTTTCTTATCATCAGAAGAAATGCAGTTATTAATTTTTGAGAAATAAAATTATCAATGCAGTATTCTAGTTTGGAATGATTTGATTGTATGAGATTTAAAAAAAATAATTTATTGTAAGTAAGAAATCACTTTGGGATGGCTCTGACATTAGATTTATTAGCTTTGAGAGAGATGTTATATTATTCCATTAAAAAATTTTCTTAAGTTCAAGAAATAGGATTCTGTATCTTTTAAATAAGGGTATCTTTTTCTTTTTTCATAAAATAAGAAAATGAAATCTTTCTAAATTTATAATTAGAAACTGTGAAAACAGTTTTTCGTATTGAGAAGGGGTCTAAAGATAAAGAGTAAGCATGTTATAGAGGTAATTGTCATGTCTCAGATTTTTAATTATGTAGACTAATATGTAATAGAATTATCAAACAACCAAAAGAAATTTTAGATTTATTTGATATAAATTTAGTAGTTAAGGAGAGGAATGATCTAGATATATTTTCATTAATAATTAATGCAAAATGTTGCAATTTGAAATGTAATATATAAGATAACAAATTGTTAAAACTATATAATAACTTATTATAAAGAATGCTATGTATTGAATTTAAATTTGTATTTGATAAAGATATAAATGCGAGAAAATAGAGTGAAGCATTTTTTTTGGGAAAAAATAATTAATTGAAACAGTATTTAATCTGAGAAATGAGTACTTAGTTACAAAATTATCTTAGTTGTTTATCTGTCATTAGTTTAGTGTTGAGTTTCAAAATAAAATCAGTAATTTTATTCTTCTATTATTATTTTATGAACTTTTTATTGTATAGAGCTGAAATTAAATACTTAAATATCTAGTTAACTTATTAGGTTTCTTTATTAGTATAGAAACTGAATTGTTCAAATATGTACTATAAAATAAAATATCATTAGTAATCACTTCAGAGATAACTATAAAGGATTTCTCTAAATTAATTTGCATTGAATTGAAATCAAAAAGATTAAGTTATATTTAAATTTAGAGTAATTATCTGTGATCTAAATAGTATCATCCATGTATACTAAGTTAGGTATAAAAGTAGTAATATTAAAAGTATCCATTTTATTAATGTCAGATGACTATGAAATATTTGATGTGTAACTTAAATTGGATTTTTGAATACAAAAAGAGAGTCATAATAAATTACCTATAGAAGTAGTGAGATAACCTCACCTTGATCAATATCAGCAAGAATATTATAGAAATCAGTATTATTATATATCATAAAAATACTATTTTTCCTATTAAGAAACAGATTAGTAACAAGAAATATAAGAGAATCTGAAATTTCAGTCTAAATAGTGTTTTTTTAACATAAAAACATTAACTCTATCATATGCTTTAAATATATTCTAAAATAAAATATATAAGTTTGATTTTTAATACTCAAGCATTTTTCTTTTTAGGTTGTGAAATTTTAAAATATTGTTGACTTGTGTAAAGGTTCTAGTATTGATTAGTATAGCAAACTGGCAAAATTAAGGCCTTTTATTATTTTATTTTTAATAAATATCTTGCAGCCATTGATTTAGTAACTTGACAAAAACTTTTTTAACTGTTTCAAGTAACGTAATTAGTCTAGTATTATCAAGTTAACAGTTTCTTAGTTTAGATTTTAGTATTTAATATATGTAAGCTAAATTCTATTATGTTAGTGTAAACTTGCTAATCAAACATGCATATAAAGGAAGTTTTTATATTTTAGATCAAGTTTCTTTAATAATTTGTTAGAGATTCTTAAAGGACCAGATGCTTTGTAGAACTCTGAATCAGGTCAGATCAACCTATTTACCTGATCTAATCTGATCTGAAAATCCAAGTCAGGTCAATAAATTTTCAAGTTAATGTCAAGTCAAATTAATAGGTTGACTTGACCTGATAAAATTTAGATCAACTAATTATTCAAGAATGATGTTTTTATCATTCTTAAATGATATTTTATTATTCAATTAGAATAATTCATTATCATTCAAAAATGATATTTTTATCATTTTTGAATGATATTTTTATTATTCAAAAATGATATTTTATTGTTCAATTAGAATGATTTATTATCGTTTAAGAATAATATTTTTATCATTTAAGAATGATATTTTATTATTCAATTAGAATTTTTTATTTTTTTGATTCATTATCATTCTTGAATGATGATTTTCATTCAACTAAAATGATTTATTATCATTCTTTTTGAATAATAGTTAATTGCTTTTCTTGAATAATTCAATCAGGTCAGATCAAGTCAAATCAGGTTAAATAAAAATTTAAACTAAGTCAGATTTTTATTTAATCTGATCTGATCTTTTAGTTCAAGTAACTTGATTAACCTGATCTGAACTGATCTATTCAGAGTTTTAGCCCTTGTATATTCAATTAGAACTATGTTTACTGAAGTTGTAATACAAGATAAAGTTTATTTATCCTTTAATTTATGTTAAACCTTACTAGAGCAACTTTGTTGAAATTGAGAAAATGTGGATTTATCACTTTACAAGACTTTTGATTAATCCATTTTAGTTCAGCTTTGATGTTCCAAATACTATTCAAGACATACTTCAATATTTGCTGATAAAATTAATAGTTTTTTCTTGCAACACAATTTTTAATCTAGCTGAATAAAGCTTGTTTAATCATCTTAATTAAAACATATTACTTAATCTTCTTTTTTCAAAACTGTTGTATTTCAGCTACACATAGATGATGATTTTAGTTTTATCGTTTATTATAATTTATTTAAGGTGATTTTATTATGAAATTAAAATTAAAGATAAACATTTAGAATAATATATCAATTCAGTTAATTCAGTATTATGATATTAAATAATAGTATCATGAACAGTTAACACTCTATAATTAATAGTATTAGTAATAATCTTATAACTATTATTATGTTGATAGCAATAAATTATAGCTTCACATTATTTTGCAGTTAATTCTTTAGTTTTTATTATTATTTTTTAGATTTTAGAGAAGAAAAATTTATTAAAAAATAATAAATTATTATTTTTTATTTTTATAATATAAATAATCACTTGCAATCATATGACTTTTTTAGTATTAATTTACATTCATGCAGATACTTTTATCTGTTCTTTATATTTACACTAATCTGATCTTTCAATAGTCTTACAATTATACTGATTATTCTTTTCACATTACTTTGAAGTAATTCAAAATTATTTTTAATTACGAACTTCGTGAAATTAATTTGGTATTCACT